CTTTAAAGTACGTAACTCAGAATTGAACCAAGGAGCCAGTTCCCTCTGAATGATTAATTTCTTTTTCAGTGGAGCAATTTTATCAAGTGGAGTTTGCATTGAAGTTGTAAGATGATCAACTAGATGATCTAAGTCACTGTTCTCTGATGCATTGCTCTGTAAGACAGAGGAAAACATTGATGGAAGAGATTGTTTAAATTTGGTTACAGCATTTTCTGATAAGCACCTGCTAAGATGAAATTTACTCTGTGACTGTGTAGTCATTTATTGTAAACTGAAAGGTTATTAAAAAATGGTCGGACAGAATAGGATTTTGAGGAACTATTACCAAGTCCTTAATCTCTACACCATAGGTCAGAACTAAATCAAGAGTGTGATGATAAGAATGAGTAGATGTGCGGACGTTTTAGGTAAAACCAAATGAATATTAAATTATTAAAGGCTATGCTTAAGCTATCACTTTCAACATCTACATGAATATTGAAATCACCCATTATGATGATTTTATCAGTATTTAATAGTAAGTCAGTTAAGAATTCTGAGAATTTGGACAAAAACTGAGAGTAAGCGCCTGGTGGACGATATATAACAACTAGTAAAAGTGGCTTTTCTGATTTCCATTTTGGATGAGAAAGACTGAGGGACAGCAATTCAAAAGCATCATAACTAATAACTGGTTTGACATTAATCAATAATCCTGACTGAAAAATAGAAGCTACTCCTCCACCACGGCCAGTTGTTCTAGGAACATGAAAATTTAAATAACTAACCGGAGTGGATTTATTTATACTAACAAAATCCTCCTGTTGTAGCCAAGTTTCTGTCAGACTGAATAAATCAATATGATGATCAGTTATCAGTTCATTAACTAACAGGGATTTAGAGGAAAGAGATCTGATGTTCAATAATCCACATTTAATGATTTTATGATTTTGCTCTGGTAAAGTAACTGTGCTTATTTTAATAAGATTTTTATGGTTTATATTTTTAGAGCTGATTTTTTGTTTATTTCATTTGAGCCGTGGGCGAGTTGCCACTGTTTCAATGGGGGTGTGGGTGGGTAACAGAGGAGAAGCAGCAGAGAGGTGTGTAATAATAAATAATTTGGGGGATAAACAAAATCAGCCATATTTCTAGAAAGAAGAGCGGCTCCGTCCAAAGTGGGATAGATGCCATCTCTCCGCATCAGACCAAGTTTTCCCCAGAAAGAACTCCAGTTATCTATGTAGCCCACGTCGTTGTCAGAACACCACCTGGACACCCAGCGGTTAAACGACAACATACGGCTAAACATGTCATCACTGGTCAGGTTGGGGAGGGGGGCGGAGAAAACTACGGAGTCCGACATGGTTTTAGCAAAGTCACACACCGAAGCAACATTAATTTTAGTGACCTCTGATTGGTGTAACCGGGTGTCATTACCGCCGACGTGAATAACATCCATCCATCCATGCATTATCTTTACCCGTTTATTCCATTTTGGGTCACGGGGGTCGCTGGTGCCCATGTCCAGCAATTACTGTGCGAGGGGCGGGGTACACCCTGGACAGGTCGCAAGTCCATCACAGGGCCACATAGAGACAAACGAGACAAACAATCATTCACTCCCTCACTCACACCTAGGGACAATTTAGAGTTACCAATCAGCCTAACATGCATGTTTTTGGTCTGTGGGAGGAAACCGGAGTACCTGGAGAAAACCCACGCATGCACGGAGAGAACATGCTAACTCCACCCAGAGGGCCCCTGGACCGGGGTTTGAGCCAGGGACCTGCTCGCTGAGAGGCAACGTGAATAACAATCTTACTGTATTTAGCCTTAGCCTTAGTCAGCAGTTTCCGATAAGATTCTATGTCGTCCGCTCTGGCCCCCGGAATGCATTTGACTATGGCCGCTGGAGTCCCTAAAGCCACGTTTCGGACTATGGAGCTTCCAATAACCAAGGTCTGTTTCTCAGCGGGTGTGCCACTGAGCGAGGAAAATCTATTAGAAACATGAACGGGTCGGTGGTGAACTGGGAGCTTAGCCTTAGCACTACACTTGCTCCGGACCGTCACCCAGCCGGCCTGGGGTCCCGGCTGCTTGGGGTCTGCTGGAGGACCGCTAGCAAGAGTTAGCCTCTGTGGTTCCACGCTGTCTAAGGGGACCTGGCTAGCTAATGGTTTTTCTACAGCGTGGAGCCGAGCTTCCAGTTCAGACAGCTTCTCCTCCAAAGCTACCATAAGACTACATTTGTTACATATATCATTACCACTAAAGGAGGCAGAGGAGTAACTAAACATCAGACTCACGGAGCAAGTGAAAACAGAGGAAGCAGGGAGAGAAGCAGCAGCCATGCTAAGCTAACGCTAGCAAGAGCTAGCAGAGCCAAATACACCAATAAAAACCGAGAAGTGTTGAAAGATAAGAGGTGTTTTAAGCACTATCCAACAGTAGAAAAACAACTGTACTAAGTGTGTTTGTGAACTAGAATGAAAAACTGTGCAAAAGACCGATAAATCCAGAAAACAGAGACAACTCGAGCAAACAATTCACTCGAGCTACCAACAGACAAACAGGAAGTGACACAATACGTCTCACCATGAACGTGCAACGTCAGCCAGACACACAATCGAACACCGTGCATGAACTGTGTCTCTCCCCTCTGCTGCTGACACGATAAATTAACTCCGACCTAACTAAAATAAAATGTCATTAAGGTTAATAATAAATCAAAAATGAGTTGATGGATTAAAACTAAATTAAACATTGTCATCAGTGTCAGCTCTGACTGATTATCCAGGAGAGCATCAGGAAATATTTTTTCCCACTTGTCCAAGTGTTGAAGAAAAAGTCTAGAAATGTTCTCCAATCTGCAGCCCTTTGATCCATTTTAGGAAGATTATTTGTCCCTCTGAAAACATGAAGGTGCACGCAGAAAAGACCGTGAACTCCAGGAAACTTCCAGAATCATAAATAACTTTGTAACATCAGATCTTTAACTACACTTTACTACATGTCACATAAACAGGAACCTGTGGATCAAAAGGCTCTAAAGAAATTATTTTTATTTATCCTAGAATTATACAATCATTAAAGCACTGATGTGTAAACATCCACAGGGAGTTTACAGATGTTTCAATGTCAGAAAAATGTGAGAAGGTCACAGACAAGTCTGGATACAGTGCCTTGCGAAAGTATTCGGCCCCCTTGAACTTTTCAACCTTTTGCCACATTTCAGGCTTGAAACATAAAGATATAAAATTTTATTTTTTTGTGGAGAATCAAGATCAAGTGGGACACAATCGTGAAGTGGAATGGAATTTATTGGATGTGTCAAACTTTTTTAACAAATAAAAAACTGAAAAGTGGGGCGTGCAATATTATTCGGCCCCCTTACTTTGTAGCGCCGCCTTTTGCTGCAATTACAGCTGCAAGTCTCTTGGGGTTTATCAGTTTTCCACATCAAGAGACTGAAATTCTTGCCCATTCTTCCTTGCAAAACAACTCGAGCTCAGTGAGGTTGGATGGAGAGCGTTTGTGAACAGCAGTCTTCAGCTCTTTTCACAGATTCTCAATTGGATTCAGGTCTGGACTTTGACTTGGCCATTCCAACAACTGGATACGTTTATTTGTGAACCATTCCATTGTAGATTTGGCTTTATGTTTTGGATCATTGTCTTGTTGGAAGATAAATCTTTCCCAGTCTCAGGTCTCTTGCAGACTCAAACAGGTTTTCTTCCAGAATGGTCCTGTATTTGGCCCCATCCATCTTCCCATCCATTCTGACCATCTTCCCTGTCCCTGCTGACGAAAAGCAGGCCCAAATAATGATGCTGCCACCACCATGTTTGACAGTGGGGATGGTGTGTTCAGGGTGATGAGCTGTGTTGCTTTTATGCCAAACATATCGTTTTGCATTGTGGCCAAACAGTTTGATTTTGGTTTCATCTGACCAGAGCACCTTCTTCCACATGTTTGGTGTGTCTCCCAGGTGGCTTGTGGCAAACTTTAAACAACACTTTTTATGGATATCCTTGAGAAATGGCTTTCTTCTTGCCACTCTTCCATAAAGGCCAGATTTGTGCAGTGTACGACTGATTGTTGTCCTATGGACAGACTCCCACCTCAGCTGTAGATCTCTGCAGTTCATCCAGAGTGATCATTGGCCTCTTGGCTTTATCTCTGATCAGTCTTCTACTTGTTCGAGATGAAAGTTTAGAGGGACAGCCGGGTCTTGGTAGATTTGCAGTGGTCTGATACTCCTTCCATTTCAATATGATTGCTTGCACAGTGCTCCTTGGGATGTTTAAAGCTTGGGAAATCTTTTTGTATCCAAATCTGACTTTAAACTTCTGCACAACAGTATCTCGGACCTGCCTGGTGTGTTCCTTGGTCTTCATGATGCTCTCTGCGCTTTGAACAGAACCGTGAGACTATCAGAGAGCAGGTGCATTTATACGGAGACTTGATTACACACAGGTGGATTCTATTGATCATCATCAGTCATTTGGGACAACATTGGATCATTCATAGATCCTCACTGAACTTCTGGAGTGAGTTTGCTGCACTGAATGTAAAGGGGCCGAATAATATTGCACACCCCACTTTTCAGTTTTTTATTTGTTAAAAAAGTTTGACACGTCCAATAAATTTCATTCCACTTCACGATCATGCCCCACTTGTTGTTGATTCTTCACAAACAATTAAAATTTTATATCTTTATGTTTGAAGCCTGAAATGTGGCAAAAGGTTGAAAAGTTCAAGGGGGCCGAATACTTTCGCAAGGCACTGTATGTAGACTGTGTGTGAGCCAGTCACTTCCCCAGACCTGAACTCCAAACTTCTGAAATGAAAGAGTTCTTTAAAGAAACATTTTCTCAAACATCAATTATCTGAGAAGCTGTTACCAAAACCTGTGAAATATTAACTTTGATCTTAATGTTTATTGGTATAAATAATTTAGACTAATGCAGCAGACTCATTGTTTTCTGTCTTTTTAACCTTTTCCTTTTCTTTAGAGAACAAATCCAAGCGTGAACTCATTCGCATGCTGGTGCAGAAAGGCTTTGAGTCAGATCCTGTTGCTGCCTGGACCAAGGCTCAGGAGAAGGTAAGACAGAGCTGCTTCAAAACTTTTGCACACACCGACACACACTGGGGGAGTTGTAAATATCCTCCGTCTATCCATCCATGTTGTGATGATGATAACTTGGTGTGTCGCTGCATCTAGGTGTAAGAAAGTTCCTTTCAAAAATTGGGTTGCCACGCCAAAATCCAAGATGGCCACCACCATATACCAGTATATACATGTAAACTGACCGCCTCTATCATTTGAGGAAACTATGTTTTCTAATATTTATATTGCTTAAAAGTATAGTTTTCTGAAATGACTGGGGTGGCACTGGCCAAAGATGAAGGCTAAGGCCACCATTGCCTCCACCCCCCACCCACCCAGCTCCTCCATTGCACTACCTGGTGGTTGACCAAATGTCTCCTTCCACTTTCCAGGATCCGTCACTCTGCTCTGCCTCGGTCAAGGAACAAAAATTCTCTGTTCTTCTCCACAGTGTAACTCCAACACACTTGTATATCTTGCACCAAAAACATTAAGGTTTATTTCATTCTTTGTTCAATTCCAGTCCAGAAAAACACTCACCCATAAAACTACAAACATTCACTATTCAAACCCCTCAAAGAAGGGGGACATTGGAGTACTGCTTGTTAAAAACAGACAGCGGTCTCACAGCGTGGGGACTCCGTCATCTGGGGGAAGCTCAGCGTAGACCTGCTGCTCATCTGCAACTAAAGGAGTCAGCTGAGGAGGTTCATCTGGTCAGGATGACTCCCTTTGGAGGTGTTTCAGGCATGTCCCAATGTTAAGAGACCCAAGTGCAGACCCTGGACTCTCTGGAGGGATTTTATATTCTCTCTGGTCTGGGAACACCTCCAGGAGGAGCTGGAGGGTGTCTAGGGAGAGGGAGGTCTGGGTTTCTCTCCTGGACCCGCTGTCTCTGTGAACCGACTACAGATAAGCTGTGGAAGATGGAAGTTGTTTGACTGTTGATTGTGCGATCCTGTCTGATTAAATGTGTATTTCTTTGACAGACCCTGGAGGAAGACTACCCTGATGGAAATGAAAGCGACAGTTCTGTGGACTTTGGCTCCTCTTCAGGTCCAAACTTCAACTACATCCTCAACATGCCTCTGTGGTGTCTGACTAAAGAAAAGGTAGAAGAGCTGCTCAAACAGAGGGATCAAAAGGTATTTATCACTGTTCTCTCACTTTGTTCACTTTACCAACATTTATGTCTTTATAGTTTAGTTAGCTCATCAAGCTGTATTTTTTTTATCATGGGGTTATTCTATATATTCAGAACTACAGTTGTATACGAGTGTGTGGTCTGATGAAAGTGAAACTTTGTCTTTGCAGAGGACTGAACTCCACGGTCTACAGAGAAAATCCCCAGAGGATCTGTGGAAGGAGGACTTAGCCGTCTTCATTGAAGAGCTCGATGTAAGTTTTATTTGTACCCACGTTTTATCAGATTTTATAGACCAAGTGAAACTTCTTATGCTGTAAGTAAGGGGTAGCCGTGAAAGCTACAGTGGTCGTCTCTCATGTGGAACATTGAGGTTTCAATCACCAGGTCTGAAATATGCCAGTATGAGCAAAATGCTGCACAACATCCCCACCCCTTGCTGCCACTGTGCTTGCTGGTACAAAGAATTGTTGTTTATATTCTGTAATGCACCTTGAGTCGACGCCTGGCATGAAATGGGCTTCATGAATAAATTTGCCTTGCCCTGCTTAAATAAGATGGCAAACTCTTAAGCCCCCATACTGCCGCGTACGTCCGTTCACACGTACGTACGTGTGTACTGTACGCAGAGGGTTCAGACTTCGTACTCCAGCGTACACCCCGAGCAACTACAGAGCAGCTTCACAGACAAGGGGTGTTTACCTTCGGGACAAATTGAGGTCGCCGATTGGTCATTTGCTGACACGCCTACTGGATTGATTGACAGGTCGGAAAAAATAAAAAAGAGCGAGCACTGGCAGCCTCAGCCACAGCGGTGTCTCAGCCACAGCGGTGTTTTGTGTTTATATGTTGTTAATAAAAATACCTAAAAAAAAATAAAAAAAAACAGGGAGCGCTGGCTCTACAGCCCACACATCAGATCAGCCCACCAGGAAATCTCAAGACCCTCCCGCAGCCTTGCTGGACCTGAGTTTAATTCGCTCGTGACAAATTCCTTCATTTGTCACCATTTCAGTCATGGCATCAACGGAGGAGGAAGGGATCACTTGCCTCTTGGCAAAACAAAAAACAAAAGAAAAGGCCAGATCAGAGATGAAGAAGGGGAATTTAATACATTGGTGTCACATACAAAACAGTCCGTCGCTGGGCAGTTTATTGTGCAACACCGCGTACGCGTATGCGGTCGTAAAAATTTGAGCTTTGCACGGACATTCCCTGGGGGGTACACTCGTACCTCTGCATACGTACGTGCGTACCTCTGTGTATGGACGTATGCGGCAGTATACTGGGGGCTTTAGTTCGGAAACAAATACCGTAATAAAGATAATTTAGAATAAATATAACTCCAGTTCTGAAAAGGATGAAATGTTGAATAAAATGTAAATAAGAAGAGAATACAATGATGAGAAAATATTTTAAACCATTCACAATGGAACATGGTCAAAATATCATGTGTCTGCGGAGCGTTAAGTCTGAGCTGAGCTGCTACAGTCTCTGCTCCCCATCTGGAAGTGGCAGAGCTGCATTGGCGGATTTGGTAGGTGGAGCTCTCGGTTCTGTTGACAGGGCATCCTTGAATAACGGTAGGGAAAACACTTGTGTGTCATATACACTCTCATCACCCCAGCTCCAAGGTCACGAATCAAGGTCAACGTTTAAACAAGATTTTTTTTTGTCTTTGTCCGGGTCATTTCTGTTGTTGGGGGCAGCTGTGGCGGAGTAGTTAGAGCAGTTGTCCTCCATTGGGAGAGTTGGGGGTTTGATTTCACCAGCAGTCACATGTTGAAGTGTCCATGGGCAAGACACTAAACCCCTCATTGTCTCTGATGGGACTCTGTGTCCCATCGGTGTATGAATGTGATAAAGCTCTGATTAGTGTTTGTATAGATATTGTAGCGTGTTGTATGAATGTGTGTGTAGTAGTGTTGTATGAATGTTTGTGTAGTAGAGTGTTGTATAAATGTGTGTGTAGAAGAGTGTAGAATGTCAGGACAGCTTTGCTGGGAACACACTACTAATTAATTATTCTTAAAGCTAGTTCAAGCACAAAGAATATTAATTGTTACTTACAACGGATTATTTTCTTTTTCGAGTTAAATTAATGCCATGTGACCGAGATAACTGTAAGTGGATTGTTTAATCAGTGACATGAGACGCCATTTTATCTTTGACCCATCAGAATAAATGCGATCATTTATTTAACAGAATCAAAATTTAACATCAAAACATGTACACATTGATTTGCTGATCTGTTTCTGATTAATAAAAACTTGGCACGCTTTACTAACAAGATCTAAAAAAGTTAAATCTGGTCCTCTGGACATTCAAAAAAACAAAACCAAGCAAAACAACAAAAAAATGCAGAAACATTTCGTCTCTCATCCGAGAGACTTCCTCAGTCTGAGGTGCTGTATTC